ACATTTTACTTCACACTTGCCCAATGGACAAAGAGTACAAAGAGAGTGGCTGATGTACTCTCCCTCTACTGGTAATGTTTACTGCTTTGCATGCAAACTGTTTTCCCCAAAAACGCATTCTTTTGTGACAGGCTATTGTGATTGGAAACACTCAGAAAGATTTGGTGAACATGAGCGAAGTGCTGAGCACATAACCTGCATGCAAGCAGTCTTGAACCGCGCCAAAGGTGCCACAGTTGATGCAGACCTGTTCAAACAGTTTCAGGCAGAGAGCAGCTATTGGAGGCAGGTGTTACAAAGAGTTGTTGCAGTCATTAAATTCCTTGCAGAAAGGGGCCTTGCATTTAGGGGTAAAAATGAATCGTTAGGGTCTCCTCTCAATGGGAACTACCTTGGTATTCTGGAGGTCCTGGCTGAATTTGATCCCTTTCTAAAGGATCACATCAGAAAGTTTGGGCAGATGGGTCGAGGTAATACCTCATATCTGTCCTCCACCATTTGTGAGGAATTCATTGAATTGATGGGTGCAAAAACCAAACAGGCTATAGCAGATGAACTGCAAGCAAGCAAATACTACTCTATCATTGTGGATTCAACCCCAGATTTATCTCATGTGGACCAATTGACATTCATATTCCGTTTTGTTAGCAAAGAGGGCAGTGTTGTTGAACGCTTTGTGGGTTTTGAGCCCATTACTAGCCATACAGGTGAAAGTTTGGCTAACTGTGTCATGTCTGTGTTGGAAAATCTAGGGTTAGAGCTGTCAAATTGCAGGGGGCAGGCTTATGATAATGCCAGCAACATGTCAGGGAGGTATAATGGGTTGCAGGCTCACTTAAAGAAAAGCAACCCATTAATACACTATATTCCATGTGCAGCTCACTCTTTGAATTTGGTGGGAGTCAACAGCATTGACAGATGTGGAAATGAAGTCTCTAAGTATTTTGACTTGATTCAGTCTATTTACAACTTCACAACTGCATCCACACACCGATGGGACAGGGTATTTGGCAATTCCAACATAGATCTCACACTTAAAGCTTTATCCAACACGCGTTGGAGTTGCCGTGCAGAATCTACCAAAGCACTGTGGCAGAACTACAGTAAAATAAAAGCAGCACTACAGGTTATTTCCACTGATGACACAGAGAAACGAGACACACGAACTGAAGCTGACAGTCTAGTGCGGAAGCTGGATTCACTTGAGATGGCCTTCATGGCAGGCTTTTGGGACACTGTTCTGTCCAGATTTCAGGCCACAAGTCTGCAACTTCAAAAAGCAGACATGGACCTTGGTACAGCAGTTAGATTGCTGGAATCTCTGCGCACCTTTGTTCTCTCCCAAAGAGATCTATTTGATCATTTTGAGCAGAAAGCCTTAAAATGTTGGGTGGCACCCCATCTTACAGGGCTGAACGGACGAGGAAACGTAAAAAGTTTGCTAATGAATCAGCATCCCCAGATGTTGTGCTTGAGGGAAGGCAACTGTTTCAAATAGAGACATTTATTGCCTCTATTGATCAACTGAGTTCAAGCCTTAATCACCGTCTGGAGGCCTACAAACATCTGAACAATTTGTTCAGTGTCCTTTTCTCTTTGGATACAGAGTCCAATGCTTCAGTCCTTCACAAGGCCAAGATTCTCACTGAATCATACCCATCTGACCTCAATGAAAATCTTGGACAGGAGCTTATACAGTTCAAATCTTTTATACAGCTCAACAACACTGATGAGGAGAGGACCCCTTCAGGACTGCTCAAAACAATAATACATTTTGGACTACAGCCTACGTTTCCTAATACATACATTGCGCTACAGATTTTTCTCACTCTACCGGTCAGTAACTGTGAGGGAGAACGCTCATTCTCTCTTTTGTCAACAGTAAAAAATGAGCTGCGCACAAGAATGACTCAGAAAAGATTAAATGCGTTATCTCTAATGGCAATTGAGAGTGAGCTGACAAGAGAGTTGGACTTCAATGATGTGGTGGATGATTTTGCAAAATTGAAAGCACGAAAGAAACCCCTTGCTTAAAGGTGCACTGTGTAAGATTTTTAGGTTATTTCCAGAATTCACCCATTCACTAATGTTAGGCTACCTGTTTTCATGAATACTTACCACCACCATAAAATTCTAAGTATCCATTATGACTTGGAGAATTGCACTTTCGCCATTTCTGGGAAGTGTCACCTGGATTGTGAAGATAGGATTGACTTTAGGCAGAAGCTTGGTGCTTTCTCTGGCAAACTGAACCTCAAGCTTCATTCTCTGCAGCTTTGCATTCTTGTGCAGACTTTCATCCACAAGGAACTTTTCAACTTCCCCACTATCGTGAAGGGGCCATCAAAAGATTTCAGTGTGTCCAGCATGTCTAGTCTCTTACTCTCCTTTCTTTGAGCCATCTCTTGTTTCTCATCTGCCCTACTCTCGAATTATGCCTTCATGAATTTACTCCAGTTGAGTTCAACCTCCCTTTTTGCTTGTGCTGCTGCCTTGAAACCTCTGAAGCTCCTGGCACTTCTGTAAAATTATTGACCTATTGACTGCATTCAGTGTGCCCAACTTCTTCAGTTTGTAGTCCACCTTGCCACATTGTCTCTCCATCCCAATGTTGTGCACAGGGGTGCCATCAATGTTACTAGCCTGTTCACTGACAGGGTCCATTGGGAAGGTCTCCTCATCCATCCTCTGCCTGGCCAGGACAGTCTTTAGATGGGGCAGCATGAGATCTGTCAGCTGCTTCACTTCATCCAAGTATTCGGCAGCCACGTCTGACACTGAGTTCAGGACATGTCCAGTGCCTGTCCAGCCACTATAGCATTCTTGGAAATGGGCTATCTTGACCTGCATGCAGCCTTTGTACCATGAACTGGCCTACACCTTTCTTTGTGGTGCTCTCCGATGCATGTTATCATTTTACCTTTCTCCTTCTCCTCAAGCTTAACCACAAATAGATACAGACTTTGAGCCTCAATTTGCTGCACAGCTGCCGTTATGCCAAAGTGTTTTCCTAAGATATTATTTTATTTTTAATGATAGAAGGGAGGAAAAGGGGGCAAAAATCATGTCCGATTTAGTTTTTTGGGTGGGGTGGGGGGTTTATATCATGATAGCTACCAACTTCCAATACATAATATCTCTCAAATGACCCAATGCACCATCACTGAAGTGGGCATAATCATTTTCCAAAATGTTTATTTTTAGGCCATTTATCCCCTCCCCCTGTGTCTGTGTGAAACCTGTGCTTGTCAGTGTCTGTGTGGTATACCTAATAGTGTGTGTGCAGTATGTGCACTCTTCTGTACAGGACAGTGTGCATGTCTGTTCACAGTATACAGTATTTCTTGCATAGTGCGTGCGTGTGTGTGCGCCCGCACGCGCGGGGGGTTGAGGGGCCAAGACCATGTCAGGCCCAGGGGGCCAAAATTTCTTAATCCGCCCCTGGCGAAGAGTAAAAAGGAAATAGTTCACTAGGTCCATTATACGATAGGTGTTAAAAACACAAACAAAGCATGTCGTTTACACAGGATCCAATCAAAGAATGTCAAGTTGACCTGCCATAATTGACTACCTATAAAGTTACGGATTAATCCATTAGGCAATCTTCTCCTACACAATCTTCCTCTCATTTGCAGCTTTAGCTGTTTTCTCTTTCTTTTGAACACATTCTCAAATATATTTTTATTATCTGTTTTAATCACTAGTTTCAGTGTTTTGAAATAGGCACCTCCTCTTTCCTGATGTCATGGTGACTCGTCCAATCGGAGCTTCAGATAAGGGTTTTCTGGTTGAGAATGACCCGGCCTGTCCTGTGACTTTCCCTACTGTGACTGAGCGATTGGTAAATTGGATGGATGGTTTATCCATGCTAAGCAGTCACACTTAAAACTCTTTTGCTTTGGCTGAAAAAAAACATTTAAATCTGGGAACAAAAAGCTTTTAGTGGCAGTGGGAACAGCTCATTGACACGAGTATACCAGGGTCAAACGACTCGGCAAGCTCTTATCCGCATGCTGTGAGAACATCAGACCCAGGTCAACCCGTTAATTTACATGATACCATTCAACGAAAAGTACAGATGTCAACACAAACAGCCCCATTCACATCTGTTCTAACAAGCCAAAACAACTGTGTTTATATTCGAAAAACATGTGTTTATATTCAATAAACAACTCCATCAGTGCTGGTAAGAAGGATTAGGTCATTTAAAGGAGCGAAACAATAAAGAATGCTGACTATGCATTTGTTTCCTTACATGATGCTCTCCATTGTTTACTGGTGACATCATCAACGCTAACCCAGTTTGATGACGTCACCAGACATGCAGTTTGCCAAGGATGGGTTAGACCCAGCTTTTTTTGCCAATGGGAAGGGAGCCAAAGGCAGATTGTTATCTGATCGACCCAAGTTTGAAAAACCCAGGTGTTATGGCCTGGCTCTTGGACCACAACAAATTAAAGGGAAGCCACACCTGGGGATAACTTAGAGTGGGATTTATTTAACAAAAAACATAAATGGTTGGAGAGGAGAGGAAAAGAGAGAAGTAGGTGGCAGAGAAGAACAAGCTGTGCTTCTCCAAGCTGGTCCGGTCTGAGCTGACTTGCTACCAGCTGGGGTTGATCATCTGACTTGGGCTGGAGCGGAGCTTGGGCTGTGAAGCTTGGTTTGGGCCTCCAGGTGAGGGTGAAGATTAATGCTCCTTAAGATGGATCTGACATCAGTCTGGCCAGCTGCCTCCACTTCCAGTCAGCACCAATTAGAAGCTCTACACAGGGATGTTAAGGACTCAGAAAAGGCCTTGCGCCGTAACACAGGTTCACCCGTTAATTTCAGTGGGAAAGAGTGTGTTTGGCTTCCTCTTGAGTTTTTACTGCCTGCTTTAAAATACATGGGGATTAATAGGTTGAACTAGACCTTGAACCTTGTTTGACTGCGAGATAAAGGAGAGAATGAGGAAGTGATGGTCTGATCCCACCTACTTCTCAGTCTGCTTACCTGAACCTCACTGGATCTGGAACCCTGACTGACATTCTCTCCCAGTTTGGTTTGATAGAAAATCACGCTGAGAAGATTCTGCTAGAGATCCTAGATGCTAGAGGTACCAGATCAGGAGGAACTAGTTCTGACTATATTTGGTGGCAGAACAAGGTAAAACGTCTTGATCAGGGTGAGTGTTCTCCTTGTTTTCCTCTCAGTGGGTTTTTCTCTCTGTGGACTGTAGAGGGAACCAAAACCAGAACTTTTCATTTGAAACTAAGCTACTGGCTTCATCTACCTGTGAATCTGGTCAGGATGTGATTTCCTGTTTTTGACCAAAAAAACAGAGTTTTCTCTGCTTGTTTCTTTTCTACAGACAAAAAACTTATTTTTAAGAAAATATTAGAAAATTGTAAACCACTGTTTTAAAGCTGGAGTTATTCAGTGGTTCTGTTGAACTGGTACCAGTTCTTTTCCTGGTCTACTGCTTCCTTCATATGTTGTAAGATAACAGATGATGTCAGAAACTTAGAGCCTGTTTTTAGTTGAACAGTTAATCTGAACTGGAATAATTGGTTTCCAGGAGAACCTGATTTTGCTGCTGAAAAAAGCTGAAACAGAAAAATCAAACTTTGTTCTAAAATGGTCTCTGAAATACCAGGAGCTTCCTAGTATTTCCTGGTTTCCTTGCGTTCTGCATGGCTGCAGCAACTGGTCCCCTTTAAGCGTAGTGCTTCCAGTAAGCCTAATCAGAACCACAGAACGACTCTAGGACCCATATTCCACACTAGAAATGTTTTCTTCAATTTATGATTAAAGATGTCCTTCTTTGAAAATTTTTCCTATCCAATCCACCGTATTTTTTATATAGCACAGAAATGTTTTGAAAGTGCTACACAGTAAAATAAACGTATAATTAATACATGTAATCAGTGATAAAAACCAATAAAAAAAAAAAAAAAAAGTTGGAGCTGGTCCTCTGACCTCCGAGGAAGTGCCTGTCCATGGTGTAACCCCTCATGATCCCGTTTGGGTTAATCCTGATGGAAAATGAATTGATGGACATATATCACTATAAAGTACAAAGCAGTAGTCCAGAAGAGATTAAATAAAAGCATACATTAGCTGCTCAAATTAATTAACAGACAAAAAAAGGTTTGATTTTAGTTAAAAGCCGAAGATGATAAAAACTGGACTTTACAACTGCATTAATCTGTTTGTCAAAATTAAAATCATATATCATAATTACACCAAGGTTGGGGGCTGTAGAACAAAGATACTGCATGAAGGGGGCAAGTTTTTAACAGGGGATCCATGTGGCCAAATAAAATGACTTCAGGTTTATTTTCATTTAGATTTACAAAGTTATTAGTCAACAAATCTTTAACATCCTTTAAGCAGTTCAGTTGAGGTGTTTGTGGGGATCTGCAATTTTTTTCTGTGGTGGATAAATCTGGCGGTCATCAGCAGTTTTAAGGAAAATTACTTTAAAAAAGTAACTGTTTACTACTTTAAAAAGTAACTAAGATAGTAACTCTTTCTACTGCATAGAAAAAGTAACTATGCAGATACTTTTTAAAATGTCAAAGAAGCTTTCTTGTTATTGAAATTTAAAATTTTCAACACTGTAGAGAGCACTTCAGCACGTTTTGGCTCCAGAGAAGCACTTTCTAATACGTTCCTTTTAAAAGAGAGGGCAACCCATAATTTTACATCACTGCCCCGAAAGAAGAGAGTTATGTGGTCAAATGTGTGAAAAGCAGCAGTTCGTTCTAAAAGCATTAAAATTGTAGTAGCCTGCATAAGTCCTAAATAATAGGTCATTAATAACCTTTAAAAGTGCAGACCTAGTGCTGTGAAAGGCTTTAAAACCAAATTCAAAAACATCAGAATTGCAACGTGCTTCTAGAAAGGTTAGTAATTTGACAAGTGCACTATTTTCTAACATAATTGACAGGAAAATAGGCCTTTAGTTTGATAGAACAGAGGAATTGAGTCCATGTTTTTTAAGTAAAGGTTCAACCACAAACTGAGGCACTCTTCCTTATTGCAGACTCCTATTTATGTTGTTTGGGACTGATGAATTAAGAACCAAATCTCCCAGAATTGTTCTAAAGAGCTCAGATGTTCAGGCTGAGTTCCTGTATTAAGATAAAAATGTTCCTTTACTCCGACCACCCGCCTATTTCATAGTGCCGAAGTCCAATCTTTCTACTCATTTAATATGAATTCAGTTCATCCATCCATCCATCCATCCATCCATCCATCCATCCATCCATCCATCCATCCATCCATCCATCCATCCATCCATCCATCCATCCATCCATCCATCCATCCATCCATCCATCCATCCATCCATCCATCCATCCATCCATTATCTTCAGGGGCCGGGTCGCGGAGGCAGCAGTCTAAGCAGAGATGCTCAGCCTTCTCATGCACACTTCCTCCAGCTGCTCTGGAGGGATCCCAAGGCAACACCAGGCCAGCTCAGAAACATAGTCCCTCCGGCATGCCCTGGTCCTTCCACAAGGCCTCCTCCCAACTGCTTACCCAATGCAGTTCAGTTTATTTATAGCACCAATTCACAACAATTTTTATCTCAAGGCACTGTACAGAGAAAGTACAGTCAGCTTGGTTAAAAGTTTCTGTCAAGAGAAGTTTGTGGGATGCATCAGCAGAGAAGCGCAGATGTTTATTTGTGAGCTTTTGAGGGGTGGTTCCGATTATCTGCCTTTGTCCTCATTCAGCCTCTTATTGCTTCTGATTTTATGCAACACTCAAAGCAAACTTATCAATGTAAGGCGAAACTAAAGAGGACTAGACAAAACTGACAACCTAGGAAATCGCAACAGGAGATCTAACATTAGGAATATAAATGTGTCAGATCAAGTAAAGGTCCTGACGCTATAGGATTTTTATAAAAGCTTATACCACAAATGGTATGATAACTTCACCTCACCAGTCCCCCTGGAAAAAGTGCACTGGATCAGGTAGAATTCTGACATACTGCACCCTATTTTCACCAAGTTCTTAAACTACAGAAAAGTTATTTGACTGACCAGAAGTAAATATATAATATATAATATGACATATGAGTTAAAAGGAACATTTTAAGTGTTCACTGACGCTGAATACCTAAAATGTGGTAGAAATTGGGTGGGTAATGTTTTCTACTCTTCCTACTTCACTGAAGCAAGAGTTGTCAGCTTCTCATGAATAAACACCTGAACTTTAAATTAAACTGAGTTCTGAAGGATGAAAATTGCAGATTTTGCTTGTAAACTTTGAAATAAACAGGAACAACACAATGTGAGAATATTTAAAGTATTCAACCTTTGAAAAAATCTGCTGCCCCTTCACAGACATTGTACTGTCTCTGGACTTGGCCATCAACGATGGAGTAAGACCTCCTGAACCCGCAAATTAGCCCTTTGCAGGTTAATTTTGTACAACTTCCTCTTTGATTTATTTTTATGAGTAGTGTGTTGGAATTAAGTTGATACAAATGTGCACAGATGGATGTATATATAAACTCTGTAGTATTCGCTTGCATTCTGTTATTGACTCTTCAGCAATTCCAAATTTAGAGATCACTGAGATCCAGAGGCGTAGCCAGGGAATTTTCATCAGGGTAACCAGGCAATAACTAATGTACACTGAGGGGTGGCCGAAAGCGGATAGGTGCCAGAACCTCAGGGTCGATTTATAATTCAATTTCAATTTAATTCAGTTTATTTACATAGCGCAAATTCACATCAGATGTCATCTCATACATATACACTGTTGAAAATGAATGGTAAATGGTAAATGGCATGTACTTATATAGCGCCTTTATTCAAATTAGGAGACTTGACCAAAGCGCTTTACACTACATTCATTCACCCATTCACATGAAAATGAACAACCACAACATCTATATTTTCTAAATAAAGACTAACTATACTTTCCTAAAGCCTTTGCTAACAAATGGACGCATATATTTAAACATCCTGCTGTCTAAAGTAAAGGTGTAGACAACAAACTTATTTCAAGTTTGAGTTCTGGGATGAAAATCTTAATCATTGTCACTACTTACACTACTTTAAGGGTGGCCATGGCCCCCCCTGGCCCCCCATCAAGCTCCGCCCCTGCTGAGATCTGGAAAAGTATCTGTTAGATCACAGCAATAATTTATGAACTGATCAAATGTTTCCCCATTAGTATGTTTATCTGTGAATAGTTAGAAACTATTCAAGAGTCTTTGTCTCTAATTTTGTTGAAATTTGAAATGTTTAAGTATGAGCAATTCTGTGCTGTTATGATTGTTTGATCATGAATATTTATTATATTAAAAATAATATTTTATTATTTTTTTATTTTAACAAAAGTATCATCAAGAAATATAAATTTAAGCTCCACCAGGGCTTTTTTATTAGGCTGATAGCTTTTCATAATAACTAGATTTACCAGAAATGGTAAATCAATAAAGCCTTTGACCATCAAACCTGTTGTGGATTTGCGCCATACCACTAGTAACAACAGTTCATAATTATAACTGATAACTGCACTTCGCGACAATCATTACCAGAATACCAGTAAATCTCAATGTATTATTAAACCATCAACATTGAAGGGATGGTTGGAGCTCTGACCTTTAGACAGCAGATCACTCCCATAAAGAAATAAACACAGATGCACATCTCTTTATCAATGCAGACATTTATTAAACACAGTCATTCTTCTGTTACAGTCAAATATTCTATCTAACAAAACTGTTTGATTAGAACACTCACAAAATAATTTAAAAATAGCTAAAGATTAAGCAGCTGAAATGATTAATCTTGATAGCAGTGATTAACTGTCAATTAAACAGATAATTAAAGTTGTAGCTGCAAAAAGACATAGGAAAATATCATCATGAATGGAAACCATCAAAGTTTTAGGTCCATTTGCACTGGGATGCATGGATGGGACATACATGCACTAATGATGGTTGCTCCTCTGTTTTCCTTTCAGTATCAAAAACAGGAAAGAAAAAGGAACATTTACAAGACCACAGAGGAGGACAGAGCATCGTCTCCAGTACTCCATCATTTCTCTCTAAATACTGACATGTCTAAAGATCATCCTACAGTCTTCAGTAATGATCCTGGACAACCAGGGCCAAAGTGAGTCATCTTTCGCCAACTGCCATGATCACCTTTTAACATTAGCTGTGAACTTATGGAGGACCAAAACTTACATAATTATAAATAAATGCTGAAATAAACAATGCTCAATAAGTTCCATAAGGATTTATGTAGCAATATTCTCATTTATTTATTTGTGTATTCATTTTTAACATTTTTTTTATTCAGTTTATTTGTTCATTGATTTGGTTATTTATTTGTTTACTTATTCACTGTTTTATCAAGTCATTCATTCATAAATTTCTTTATTTGGACCTTATTTACCAGGATATCAGTAACAGAAATGTCGTTATGATGGAGGCAAATACCTGTAAAACTTGTCTATAGGTAGAAGTTTAAGCCTGAAGACACCACTTCTCATTATTTATGATGGGGCAGAAATGCAGAAATGAATGAATGACTAAAATGATGAATGAAAAATAAAAAACGAATGAATACAAAAATTAAATAATTTAAAATTAAATAATTATAATTTTATTTACCTATTTCATATTATATGTTTCATGTTGCACGATTGTACCATAAAAAATTCCTAGTTGTGAACTCCTTCACTAACAATGTCAATAAACCCGATTCTGATTCTGATTCTAAAGAAATAGCGACATTGTTACATAAATTATCAGACTAATCATACCTATTGAGCATTAATTTATTTTTGCATTTATCCTTAATTATTTCAGTTTTGGTCTTCCATATAAGGTAAATGACATTGAAATTTAAGCTGAGAAGTTCAGCTGCAGAAAAGAGGACTTCAGCACATCCTCCATATCCAGGAATGTATTTGATGAGAGGGAAGCTACAGCATCATGCTGCCTCCAGTGCAGAGCTCGATTGAACAATGGCATCATCTGTACACATAGTAGGTTGAAAACTGATTTTCAATGAAGGGACACATTGAAAAAGAAACTGTTTTGATCTTGGTTTTGATCACCTTTTGGGTGATGTCAGAGCTTCGGGAAATGCAGCACAACAAATAATAAAAACACAAATAGACTCTGTTCCTCTGATTCATTTTTCTGACTGTTCAAACTTGCTAAGCTATCAGCTTAGCAACAAATGCTGACGTTTCATATCCCTTTTTTGTGCATATGTCTTGGGCGTGTGAGCATGCATGTGGGGGTACCATTAGCAACATAGTTGTTTCACTGTCTCCTGTACCATAGATAAAAAGATAGGTTAGACAGGCAGCAACACAAAACTGCCTCTAGATTTCTTGGCACGCTTCATGTAGATTCTTTCCAAATCTACATGACGGTTCAGAGACCTAAGTGAGAAAACTGTTCTTTGTTTTCCTTTCAGAGTTTCACACTGGGAGAAACAGGGGAATATCTGGAGGAAGGTGGAGAGGGAAGGAGCAGGGTCTCCGTCGCCCTGCAATGTTAACCATTCAAAACCTCTTCCTGTACAACCCAGTAATTATCCTGACCCAAGAGATCTAAGGTGAGTCATTAACTTCTATAAACATAGTAAAATTCAGTCTGATTTAGCTAACATCTATCAAAGGTTTATGATGTTTAAATTTGAAAATCTCAGTAGCAGGAAATCATGCCTTAGGATGTCCAACCAGCTCCTATCCTGGCCAGTCAGACTGATTCATCATTTACATGGTGTATCAGTCTGGTAAAGAGCTGGTAGAGCTCAATTTCAAAGGCTGTACTAACAGGGTCAGCCTCATCAGGTTAGAACCAATTAGATAACTATGGATGTAATGCAAAACTCCAAGCATCTCGCTCTGTTTTTGTAATTTTGTAGTCCTCCAAACATGTAGAGCTGTCGAAGAAACTCTCCAGTGAATGATTTATGCCAGTTTATCTAAAGAAATCTGCATTATAAAGTCTGTCTTTATCAACGTTCTTAATTTTCATTGCTCAGCTGTGGTTGCCAGCTTGTTGTTATGCTACCAGAAAAGCGATGTTGCATTATGGGCAATTCAGCCTCTCAGAGTCATGCACTGAAGAATCCCGCCTCCTGTGCTGGGATTGGTCTGGCCAGGTTTATTTATTATTTTTATTTTTTTAGGTTACTTACCTCTGAAGTTTACATTTATTCTTTAGAATTTTGCCTTTGAGAGTTGTTGGATTAACGTTGATATTTGCAGTGCACTTTGGATTGTACATATCTGGGTTGCTTATTCTATCAACCAAATGTATATTTATTCACAAACTTATTGCCTTTAAAAAGGTTGGCATTTGGAATAAAATGTAAATGATTTAGGAATAACTGGTTGCTTTTTAAGAAGATTTCATGCTGTGAAAAATATGGAGATCAAATCCAGTTCTAAAAATGTTGTTTCTATGACATTTAAATTAGCACAGATATCGATACCAGTATCGGGCGGAGCCCGGATCCAACACTAAAATGGTGGTATCGGAATCGGCGAGTACCAACAAATAGGGCACGATACCATTTTGAGAGCCAAAAGTTTATTCAACTATTGTCAACAATTCCAGGTAGGCAATAAAAAGTTCATGATTTAAGATGAGATTTCTCAGATTTTCTCTTCAACAATTCAGATGTCATCGCCAAGGTACAACTAAACATTAAAACCTTTCTCAGAAGATCCTTCCAGTTTAGGGCCATATTTTTGTTGTTTAATTTAGGCGTAAAATATATTTATTTGTGTTAGTAGGATTATGCAGGTTAATGTTAGCGGGCTGGATGAGCACATTTTACAACCAGGTAGAAAAAGCCTGTTCAGTTCTAAACTACCTAAAGGCAGAGCAAGCAGGAGATACCAGAATGTTGAGGCTGATCTGGAGTCTTTCTGGACTGATTAAAAAAGAAGTCATTTTTAGCTTTGTCTATTAGTTCTGTGTAGTTTCCAATGCTTGATGAATCAGCACTTCAGTACATATTTCAACAGCTCATGCCACAATGACTAATTTATTTAAAGGATATTTTGCAATATGGGTATTTTTCTCCAATCTTCTGTCCTCCGTCACCAACACCACTGAACCCTTTGCAAAACCCACTCTAACTTCCTTCTTGCTGATGTACTTTGTTAGGATGTCTGTTTCTGCTGAAAGAAAATAAAAACTTTTCAACTTAGTAGGCCTATTTCTATGATGATTAAATGAATAAAAAAAGCATGATTTACACTGATCAAGTCAGTATAAGTTTATTTTTTAATGAAATATGACAGGCAGCACCATATCAGACCATGACTGTCATGATGGGTCTTAGGTTCTTAGCCCACATGCAGAACACAACGGAGGCTGGGTAAAAGTTTAACAGAGTTTATTGAGTTTGCACAAAAACACAAGATCATGAACTGGATCAGGAACTGGTCCGGGCTGGTTCACTGAAGTCTGCAGAGATGATAGTTTGATTAGGAAGCAGGCTGATGAGTTATGAGTCTTTGAAAATTCAAGAGTATACCTTGATTGAGTCCGGGCTTCTCTTTGAGAGAGAGGGAACCGTTGGGTCCAGAGACTGTTTGTTCAGCAGAGTCCAAGAGCAGCTGCAGCGTCTTGCTTCTGACTTAAATGGCAGACCTTGATCAGAGTTTCCAGCTCTTAGTTAGAGCAGCAGGGGAATCCACATAGGAATCTTCAGGTTTGGCTCACGAGGGCAATCTCGGCAGGTTAAGCTCATCCAGAGCTTCAGGTTAGAGACAGGTTTCCTGTGAGGCAAAAACAAGGGAGAATTAGAATCAGATCTCTCTGAAGAGACAGCTAAGATTCTTCAGGTTCTAGGCTCAGGTCGCTAACCAAACTAGGTCAACACTGCGGCGTCGAAGCAAGGTCTGGCAGCTGGTTATAAAGGGCAGGTCTCTTGATGAGTAGATGCGTCTCAGGTGTGCTGGAAGACTCCAGCTCCAGGAGACCCACGGCGCACTCTGCTGGAGGAAGGTGGTACAGCTCCAGATCCCAACAATGACATGTTTAGAGTTAACGTTGAAACAATAGCGTGATTATTTCTTCAGACAGTGTTGGATAATGAACTTGTTTTAAACACAGCTGTTTTGTTATTGATATATTTTTTTGCGCGACTTAAGCCTAATTTTAAAAGGCAGTATAAACACTTTTGTCAATATTTCAGGAGTGTGGTAACATGCAGCTAAACATACTAAATACATTGTTCTGTGCATTGTGATCGAAATATCTTTAGTATTACGAAAAGTTACATATAAATGGAGTCTCAATGTTAGTTCTGTTACAATGAAGTCTACACTAATTTCAGTGTTGAATGGAATATGCTTGTGAATTTAAACTACAAGGCTTTTTAAGGGTTGATCCCAATCTGATTTTTTTGGCCCACATGCAACCTGGATCTGATCTTTTCATGGCAGTCTGAACAACACAGATCCGATTTTTTTCCAACGCGACCTAGGCCACTTGGCTATGTCGTCCTGAATCTTAAACGAATTTGATCTTTTCAAATGTGATCTGTGTTGGAACGGCCATGTCACATTCAACTGACTTGAACGCCATTAATAACAGTCAGTGGTCAATATTCTGCTTCTTGCTACACAGAACAACAACCATGGCAGATGATGAAGCAGAGAGCAGTATTTATGTTTACCAAATTTAAAAGAATGAGTTTTATGGTTGGAAAAGATCGCTAGATGCGCAACAGCGCTACCATCCATGTTTACTTCTCTAAACACAGCGCATGCTGGCCTGTGACGTCATTGCATCTTCTACTGCGCATGCGGGACACTAAGGTTGTATGAATGCAGTTCACACAGGAGATCACATAAAAGTCACATATATTTAGAAATATGAACGGCAAAGCAAAAAAATCGGATATCACAAAAAAAAAAATCAGAATTAAGCATCAAGGCCTGCAGTGTGAACATAGCCTTAGAAACACACATGTAGAGCCTTAAGGAAAACTATTGTCAGGCCAACAGGAACCTGTTTTAAAGCTGTGGTGGTTCCCCTTAAGGCTCAGTAAGATCACCCTTTTTTTCTCAGGCATTAATATGGGGCCAATGTTGGTGTGGTAAAGAGTGGTCCCAGTTAAAGGAGATGTTCGGTCATATTCAGAATTCAAAAATGATACTACTACATACTGTTCAATAAATTAGTGTTTTTAATTAAGAGTAATTTCATTTGAATGTGCTTTACTGGAGGCATCCATGTTTGTCGGAGAACACTACTGCCAACCTCGAAAATCCCCCAATATCGGTATCGGCCTTCAAAATTTGCAGGATCGGTGTTGGATCGGCTGTAGCTGATGAGAAGCCAGCAGAACAAAGTCCAAACCAGTGAGACGCTGAAGCTTAACTAGTTCAGATTCTAGAGATTCTATCTTTGCAGAGTCAAATTCATCACTTTAAAACTTTTTCCTTTTCATTTTGTATGTGGCAAATACCTGGGAATGAAATGAAAGCAGTCTCCTTCAGCTAAGAACAAAGTTTAATATTGTGTCTCCTTATCCTACTCCACATGTATAATGATGCGAGTGATTGAGCACAGCACATACACACAGCTCTGATCATGTGTGTATGCGATGTATGAGCAGTGCAGAAAGAGAAATTACTGCTCTCTATGAGGGGAGCGAGTGACAGAGGGGAAGAATCAGCACATGGCAGATGTTTTATATGGCAGAAGTTTGCAGCAAAAATCAAATTTTTACATCAGCCACATTTTGGATTGATGTTGATTAATGAGTCAGACACTAAAATTGGCCCGATATATCCCCCTGCCGATTTATTGGTCAGCCTCTTTTACTGACCAATGTTCAAAGTCAAAGTTGTTCAGAATGGAATCTAAATGAGCAGAGAGACTCGGTGTGTCAGGAATCAACAGAATTGTTTTGGTTCCATGGCGTTCCATGGCGGTTCTCTTCGCTCTCAGGTTCCCTTTGGGCGCCTGGGGCTTTGGGTCTCCCAGCGCTTGACTAGGTGCTCTGGGGGGGCACCTCTTCGGCTCTTCACAACCACTATTGAGTATTTTTCCTTTGGATAAACTTAACATGCACAAGTGCACTTTCACAAACAACTACTGTACAGGTGCTTGGTTCCAGGTACTTCGAGATTCACTTCCATACAGAAAGCCCATATTCTTATCTTCAGGTAACACAGAATACATGTCAGATTAAGTAATACTACTTATATTTCAGCGATAGTATCTAGGTGTTACTTTATTGTATGTCTTATACCATGTCTGTTGGTTGTGCTGTTCTTTTTACATCTCTTTGCAGGTGATGAAGCAGACTGAAAATGTTTTATCGTTATCTCCCTTTTATCTCCTCTTTCTTTCATCTTTTCTCCTTTTACTGTTTTTCATTTCCTGTTCTACCTACATTGCAGTGTCCATATAATCTGTAAAACTCCCTGCATAATTTTAATAAAACAATTTATATGCATAAATCAAGCGGAACACTATGGCGACAGCCATACTGCTCTACTTGTGAAAGAAAAATCTGTTGGGCTCTTTTTGGCATCAAGACAATTATTCTTATTGCCACTGTAAAAAAACAAAAAAACAAAA